TGGCTGCAGCGAAGAGGGTGTTGCGCTACTTGTGCAGTACGTCGGGCATGGGGCTAGTGCTTGGAGGGCGACGTCGAGTGGTCCTCACCGGTCACGCTGACGCTTCTTGGGCTGACGACCAGGCTACGCAGCGGTCGTCACAGGGTTACACCTTCAGCCTTGGTTCCGGCTCTGTTTCGTGGCGGTCTACCTGCTCGTCTTCTGTTCTCGGCTCCAGCTGTAAGGCTGAGATCTACGCGGGGGCCATGGCTGCACAGGAGCTACGCTGGCTCACCTACCTGCTGACTGACCTAGGAGAGCCGCCTCGTTCTCCTCCAGTTCTGTACGTAGACAACAAGGCCATGCTGGCCTTGTGTCGGGAGCACAGACTGGAGCACAGAACGAAGCACATTGCTTTTCGCTACTTCCTTGCTCGTGAGCTGCAGCAGCGTGGTCAGTTGCGCCTTGCTTACGTGGCCTCTGAGGCCAACACTGCTGATATCTTTACCAAGGCACTTCCGCCTTGTGATCATCAGCGCTTCTGTACGATGCTAGGTCTTGTGCCTACTTGGCCTCACTTGCTCACTTCTTGACCTTGCTTGTACTGTGAGCTTACTATAGCTGCACTTGCTTGTTTACCTTTATATATGATCTTGCATGTGAACTGGCCTTGTGGCCTTGAGCTTGTGCTCGGACTATGTGGTGACGTTGTGATCCACCCTGAGCTTGCTTTGCTTTGCTTGACTGGTCTTGTGACCTCTTGTTCTTCCCCACTTTGCCTATGGGGGTGTGTCAAACTCATATGCTATAGTCTGTGTAGGCTGTAGTGGGGTAGACAATATGGGGTACAACACTTTTAGGTTTTCCTACTTGTACCCACCTGCTTGCTAGTTCATTCATTCCTCATTCTTCACACTGCTTGGAGCGGTTGACGACGCCGCTGGGGACGACTCCGTACCAGCTGCTGACCGGGCAGAAGCCCGACCTTACGCTGGCGCGGGTATGGGGCTGCATGGTGCAATTCATGGTTCCCGAGCAGCAGCGCGGTGGGAAGTTGGCGCCGAAGGCTCGCTGGGGCCTTCACCTGGGTGTGTCGCCGGAGAGCAAGGGCTGGGAGGTGCTCGACCTGACCGACAACAAGGTGGTCACGTTGGTCGAGGTGATCTTCTATGAGATGATGTCGCTGGAGGTGTGGAAGGCGAAGTATGGGCCGGCGTCGGGGCGGACGCAAGCCCACCCGCCGACGGACAGCTCGACGGCGACGGTCCCCCTGCTCGCCGAAGTCGACGAGCCTGCTGATGACGATGTTGTGGAGGTTCCTCCGCCTCCTTCTGTTCTTGCTCCTCCCTCCCTCGTCACAGATCGGTCTGCATCGACACCTGTGTCGGCCACCGGCGATGAGGGGAGCCTTGGGGCGTCGCCTATGGCGCCGGCCAGTGGCATCGGCGGCGGTCGACAAGGCGCCCAACTCGTCGACCAGGGCCGGAGGTCGATGACAGGGGAGCAGCAGACAGGGGAGCCGGTCGAACAGGAGGCAGCATCGAGGGGGCAGTCGACGGAGGAGCAGCAGCCGGGACGGTCGACAGGGGAGCTGTCGAGGTCAGCAGCAGACGAGCAGCTGGTCGAAAAGTCGAAGCAGCTGGTCGATGATGTGAACGTCGACGACGAAGGGGGGCTGTCGGCGGGAGAGGAATCCACCGACAGTGATGTGGTGGAGGTTCCGGTCGAGAAGTCTGCGCCGGAGCTGCGACGTTCTGGTCTTCGGCTGAGCTTCCACGCATGCCTGCCACCAGCTGCCTTCACCACGGTGTACGACGAGGTTGACGACGACCTGTTGTACGACGACGCCGAGGAGGATGAAGACCTGCCGGAGCTCGACCCCGACATGCATGCCGACCCTGAACACCGCTGGGACATCGCCACGATGACGGTGAAGGAGGCGCTGTCGAGCTGGAAGGGCGAGGCGGTGAAGGCCGCCATGGAAGAAGAGATACGCAGCCTCATCGGCATGGGCACTTGGGAGCTGGTCGAACGCCCACGCGGGGTGAACATCACGAGACGTACTCGCCGGTGAGCAGCTACGTCACGCTGAGGATCTTCCTTAGCATCGTGGCCGTCCTCGACCTCAACCTGATGCAGCTCGACATGAAGAACGCCTTCCTGCAGAGCAAGCTCGACAGGGTGCTCTACATGTACCAGCCGGACTACTTCGATGACGGGACCGGCCGGGTGTGTAAGCTGCTGAAGAGCCTCTACGGGCTGAAGTAGTCGCCGCTGTTGTGGTACAGGGCTCTTGACGGTGTGCTGCTGGGCGCTGGCTGGAAGAAGAGCCAGGTCGACGGGGCGCTCTACTTCAAGGCCGGCGACGACGGGGTGACCTGCTGGGTGCTGGTCTACGTCGACGACCAGCTCGCCGCCAGCAGCAGCACCGCGATGCTGAAGGAGCTGAAGGAGCTGCTGGAGGCCGCCTTCGAGCTGCGTGAGATCTCGCCAGTGGTGAAGTACCTTGGGCTGGAGATCGTGCGCGACAGGCCGGCCAGGAAGCTGTGGCTGCACCAGAAGGGCTACGCCGACAAGCTACGCAGGCGCTTCATCGACGAGGAGCAGGGCGGTCGAGTCACGAAGACGCCGGTCTCGGTCGACGTCTACGCTCAGCTGACGTTCGACGACGAGGAGGCCCAGGAGCGCGAGGAGGAGGAGTACCGGCAGAAGGTTGGCTCGCTGCAGTTCGCGGCGACGACGACGAGGCCGGACATCGCGTGCGCCTGCAGCAAGCTGGGGAGCGGCCTCACGGTAAGGAGCGACCAGCATTGGCGCGAGGTCAATCACTGTCTCACCTACCTCGCTGACCCCGCGACACCGCCCTGACGTTCGGCGGTGGACCAGAGTCGCTGGAGCTGATCGGCTACGTCGATGCCGACGACGCGGGCGATAAGCAGAACCAAACGAGCACAGGAGGCTACGCGTTCGTCTACGGAGGGGCCGCTGTCTCCTGGTCGAACAGCCGACGGATGCCCAACGAGGCAAGTCGGGCTAATCGTCTGCGCGCACCTGCGAGCGTGCGCACTGCTGTGTTCTACGGGGCAATGCTGGACAGCCGCTAAGCTTCAGCGTTGGCACGCCGTCGACCTGCTCTGTTGGCAGGTCGCCCTTCTGCAGTGCTGGCGCGGCTCCTCTATGCAACGCTGGTAGGCGGTCGACCGAGCTGTGCTGGCGGTCGACCGGACTAGCTGCAGAGTTACTAGGTGCCTGATGTAGTCATTGTTGCCATCTCTTGTTTAACCAATTCCGTAATTTCGACTTTGCCTAGTGGAAACTCTTGCCGATTTCTCCCGTGAATGTGCAAGCACTAAGGAACTAAGCAAAGCTACGATCACTCCTAGTAGTTCGTGCCTACCCCCGTAGTCTAGCTCACTACCGTTGTAGAGTGACTCTCCACACTTCCACCCAGCGCCGACCAGCACGTCGTTGAGCGCCAGGTACCACAGCAGCGGCGACTGCTTCAGCCCGTACAGGCTCTTCAGCAGCTTGCAGACACGGCCGGTTCCGTCGTTGAAGTAGTCCGGCTGGGACATGTACAGCACCCGGTCGAGCTTGCTCTGCAGGAAGGCGTTCTTCATGTCGAGCTGCATCAGGTTGAGGTTGAAGACGGCGATGATGCTGAGGAAGATCCTCAGCGTGACGTAGCTACCCACCGGCGCGAACATCTTGTCGTAGTCGGCGCCATACACCTGGGTGAAGCCCTTCACGACCAGCCTCGCTTTCTTGCGCTCGACGGTGTCGTCGACGTGGTACTTCGTCGTCAGCACCCACCGGTTCTTCATGATGTTCACTCTCGGTGAACGTTCGACCAGCTCCCACATCCCCATGATGATGAGGGTGCGGATCTCCTCCTCCATGGCGGCCTTCACCGCCGGGCCCTTCCAGCTCGCCAACGCCTCCTTCACCGTCATCGTCGAGATGTCCCAACGGTGCTCGGGGTCGGCATACATGTCGGGGTCGAGCTCCGGAAACTCCTCATTCTCCTCGGCGTCATCATACGCCAAGTGGTCGTCGTCCACGTCGTACACTGTGGGGACGAAGAAGTCGGGCGGCCTCCGAAGTCGGCCTGACTTCCGGGGTTCAGGCCGAACCTCCACCACGTTGCTGTCGGTGGATTTCTCCCCTTCGGCACCGGCTTCGCTGCCCTCGTCGTCTTGCTGCACCTCGGTCGACTTCCTGGCCGACCTCTCCCCTGTAGTCGGCTCCTCTGCCGACTGCCTGGTTGCCGACTGCTCCGTGGTTGGCGTCACCGCTGCCTCCTCCCCTGTCGGGTGCTGCCCAGCTGCCTTTTCCGCCGACTTCACCCAAGTCGGCTGCTCCTCCTCAACATGTTCCTCCCCTATCAGCGTCGACTTCACTCCCACGTCGACTTGCTGCTCGTCACGTCGACCACCGGCGATGTTCTTGGCCGGCGCCGAAGGCGACGTCCCACTACTCCCCTCATCGCCGGAGGCCGACATCGGGGTCAGCCTGCGCAGGTCGGCCACGAGGGGAGGGGCATGAGATGCAGGGGGAAGACAAGGAGGACGGACGACCTCGGCGTCCTCACCAGCAAGCTCACCGACCTCAGCGAGCAGAGGCAGCGTCGCCGTCGAGGAGTCGGTTGGCGGGGTGGTCGGCGTCCGTCCTGACACCGGCCCGTGCTCCGACTGCCACACCTCCAGCGACATATCCTCGTAGAACACCACGTCCGACGTGGTGACCACCCGGTTGGCGTCGATGTCGAGGAGCTCCCAGCCCTTGCTCTCCGCCGACAAACCGAGGTGTAGGCCCCACTTGGCCTTCGGCTTCAGCTTCCCACCACGCTGCTGCTCGGGGACCAAGAACTGCGCCATGCAGCCCCACACCCAGGCCAGCGACAAGTCGGGCTTCTGCCCGGTCAGCAGCTGGTACGGCGTTGTCTCCGGCGGCAGCGTCGACCTCTCAATACAGTTGCGGACCCAGACGGCCTGTCGCAGAGCGAGGTGCCACCAGTGGTGCTACACGCCCATGTGCAGCAGCATCGTCCGCACTGACTCCACCACCGTCCTCATCTCCCGCTCCTCCATGCCGTTTTGCTGAGGGGTGTACGGGCAGGTCAGGTCGTGGACCATCCCCTTGCCGTCCATGAAGTCAATGGACTTCTTCTCGAGGAACTCCCCTCCTCGGTTAGAGCGAAGCATGAGCACCGACTTCTTTGTCTGCCGCTCCACCAACACCAGCCACTTCTGGAACTCTAGCAGCACGTCCAACTTCTTGGCGACCAGCCTCATCCACACGTAGCGGGTCTTGCGGTCCTTGAGCAGCAAGAAGTACAAGCTGCCGTCCTTGGCAGCCACGCGGAACGGCCCGCACAGGTCGATGTGCACGACGGCCATCACGTCGGCGACATCAGAGCCTTGGTCGGGGAAGGTGTGCCGCGCCAGCTTCCCGCCAACGCACGAGACACACGGTAAGTCGGCGCCTGTCGCCGACTTGAGGTCCAGCCCAATGGCGACCTCGTTCTTCGCGGAACTCCAAATGGTGTCCATGCCGACTGTGCCGCCCCTTCGTTGCTGCCCCTCCTTCCGTCGCGGCCTCCACATGCAGCAGCCCCCGAGGCGAGCCCTGCAGCAGCTGCTGCCGCCGAACCTGCAGCAGCTGCCGCCGCCGAACCTGCAGCAGCTGCCACCGCCGAACCTGCAGCAGCTGCCGCCGCCGAACCTGCAGCAGCTGCCGCCGCCGAACCTGCAGCAGCTGCCGCCGCCGAAACTGCGGCCGCCGGCGTGACCAGTAGCCGCCACAGCTGCTGTAGCTGCTGCCCCGGCCCGGCCCTGCAACCGAGTCGCGGCCCTGCCCTGCCGCCCAGTCGCGGCCCCGACCCTGTCGGCGCACCACGGCCCTGCCCCTCCAGTCGCGGCCACCCTACCCACCCGCCACTAGTAAGCGCATCGCCGAGCCGCGCCGCCCTGCTTAGCCGCGCCCCCCCTTTTTGGCCGAGTCGCGCTGCCGCTACTGCTGCTAGCCTGCTGCTGCTGATGTCATGGCTAGTCCCAATGTACTTACCTTCGAAGCTGAGGGTCGAGCGGTCGATTTTGAGGTCTGGGTCGATGATCTGCAGCTCTTCCTGCAGTGCGATAGCAAAGACGACCTCTCACTGTTCGATCTCATGTCTGGCGCCTCTGCTGCCCCTACTGCTGATGCTGACAGTACTGTTCGCTCGCAGTGGACCACGCGATATGCTGCTGCTCGCCTTGCTGTGCGTAGTCACCTGCCGTTCGCTGAGCGCGCGCACTTTAGTCAGTACAAGAGTGCTAAGACCCTGTATGACGCTGTAGTTGCACGCTACTCCTCCCCTGCCACTGCTGCCCTTAGCCGCCTCATGTTGCCGTACCTGTTCCCTGACCTCGCTGCCTTTGCCATAGTCGCTGACCTCATTACGCACCTCCGCACTAGTGACACCCGCTACCGCGCTGCGCTTCCTGCTGTGTTCTGCGCCAAGAACCCCCCCCCCCCATGTACATCACCCTCTACTACCTAGTCACCCGTCTCCCTGACTCCCTTCGCTCGGTCAGGGACCACTTCCTCTCTGTTTGCCCCACCACACTCACCGTTGACCTCCTCGAGGAGCGCCTCCTTGCAGCTGAGAAGAATATAGTCGCAGTAGGAGCCTCTCGTGGTGACCCTTGTGCCCCCTTCTTTGAGGGGTGCTCCCCCTTTCCCCTTTTGCCCTCTGTTGCCTCTGCTGTTGCTGTCGACCTCGTTGGCACCGAGTCGGTCGGCGCTGCGTCTGCCCCTAGCGGGAGACGCCGCAACGGCAAGGGCAAGGGGGGCAAGGGCGCTGGAGGAGCTGGCGGGGGCGGTGGTGGTAGCGATGGAGGCGGCGGAGGAGGTGGGGGTGGCGGTGGGAGTGGTGGCGGGGGTGGGGGCTTCGGTGGCGGCGGTGGAGGCGAAGGCGGCGGCGGCGGTGGCGGTGGGAGTGGAGGAGGCGGCAGTGGCGGCGGTGGCGGCAGCGGCGGTGGAGCTGGTCGAGGTGGCTCTGTGCAGCGGGGAGGCTTCGGTGGTGGTCAGCGCCAGCAGCAGCAGCGCACTTATGAGACCCCGCCCCCCCAGCAGCTTCGTGAGTGGTACGCTGCGCGTCAGCGGGGTGGGGGTGCTGGTCCCTGTGCCTACGTCCTGCGTACCGGTGACCGCACTGGTGAGCCGTGCAGCGGCCCGAACGCCACCCAGCGCTCCTGTGGCCGCCTGACGGACGCCCGGGGTCTCCAGTTCCCTGACGCCAATGAGATCCCTCGCTGGGGCGATCTGCTTAGGTCGGGGGTTGCTATCTTTGATCTTGATTATGATGCTATTCTTGCTGCCATGTATGTTGTGTCTACTAGTGATGAGGGTGACTGTTACCTGTGTGTTCCGCCTGACCCGGGCATTTAGGCTGCTGCTCTAGGTGCTCGTGAGGCTGCTGCTCTAGGTGCTAGTGAGTCTGCTGCTCCAGGTGCTGGTGAGTCTGCTCTCTCAGGTACCGCGTCGTCTCAGGTTTTGCACACCTTCACCCTTGACTCGGGTGCTTCCCGTTCCTTCTTTCGAGACCGCACCACACTTACGCCGCTTAGTCGGCCGGTTGCAGTCTCCCTGGCCGACCCCTTTGGGGGTCCTGTCCTTGCGCACTAATCCACTGTCCTACCGTGTTCGGCGGCCCCTTCTGGCACCCTGTCAGGTCTTTACCTCCCCTCGTTCTCTACGAACTTGGTGAGTGGTGCTGACCTACAGGATGGGGGGGTTGACCAGTTCACTCCTGCGAGTCAGCGAGTGACCCACTGTACGTGTGCTCGGACGAGCCGACACTAGGCCACGTTTACCCGTCAGCCAGGGTCGAGCCTGTACACACTGACTACCGAGTCTCCTCCGGTTCCTGCGTCTGGTCAGGTAGCTGCGTCGGGTCAGGTGTTTGCTGCAGCGTCGAGGTCTGGTCCTGAGTCTGCCCCCTGCTCGTGTCGTCTCCTGTCTCACCAGACACTCCTCTGGCACCACCGCCTTGGTCACCCCTCCCTACCTCGTCTCCGAGGCATGGCCTCCCGTGTCCTTGTCTCTGGTCTCCCCCGGTCCCTCCCTCCCCTTCCCCCGGGGCCTGCCCCTACCTGCGTTCCCTGCGTCGAGGGGCGGCAGCGCGCAGCTCCTCACTCCTCCGAGTTTCCTCCGACAGAGGCTCCGCTGCAGAATCTCCACATGGACGTGTGGGGCCCAGCCCGCGTCCGTGGACAGGGTCACGAGCGTTACTTCCTGCTGGTGGTTGACGACTACTCGCGTTACACCACAGTCTTCCCCTTGCGCAGCAAGGGTGAGGTCACCGAGGTGTTGATCGACTGGATCCGCGCTGCCCGTCTCCAGCTCAGAGAGAGTTTTGGCTCGGACTTTCCTGTTCTGCGTCTGCACTCCGACAGAGGTGGAGAGTTTTCCTCCGACCTTCTGCGAACCTTCTGTCGTGCACGAGGCATCCGCTAGACGTTCACGCTTCCGGCCTCTCCACAGCAAAATGGGATTGCTGAGTGCTGCATTGGCATGGTCATGGACGTCGCTCGTACGTCCATGATCCATGCGGCTGCTCCCCATTTTCTGTGGCCGTTAGCGGTTCAGTACGCGGCGCATCAGATCAACCTTCAGCCTCGGGTCTCCTTGCCGGAGGCCTCCCCTACTCTGCGGTGGACGGGGAAGGTTGGCGATGCGTCTGCGTTTCGTGTCTGGGGATCTCGAGCTTTTGTCCGCGACTTGTCTGCGGACAAGTTGTCCTCCCGTGCTGTTCCCTGCGTCTTCCTTGGCTTCCCCCCTGACTCGCCTGGTTGGCAGTTTTACCACCCCACCTCGCACCGTGTTTTGTCCTCCCAGGACGTCACGTTTGACGAGTCGGTTCCTTACTACCGTCTCTTCCGCTACCGCACTGCACCCCTCCCCCTCCCGCCGCTCTTTCTCGCGCCAGGTCCCCCCCCGGTAGACCCCCTCCCCCCTCAAGGTCTTGCCCCCTCAGGTGTGTCCCAGGTAGACGCAGTCGAGCCTGTCGAGGTAGCTGTTGACTCTGGTGATGCTAGGGGTGCTGAGCCTGCGGGTGCGGGGTTTGGGGGTGCTGAGCCCGAGCGTGCGGAGCCTGGGGGTGCTGGGTCTGGGGGTACTGAGTCTGGGGGTGCTGAGCCTGGGGGTGCTGAGCCTGGGGTTGCTGAGTTTGGGGGTGCGGAGAATGAGGGTGTTGGGCCTGCTCGTGTGGAGTCTGGCGGTGCTGGGCCTGGAGGTCCTTCGGGTGCTTCGTCCTGGCGGGAGCTACCCTCCCCGCAGGAGCTGCGCGAGTGGTTTGCTTGGCGCTGGAGCCGTGCTGCTGGAGCTGGTGGTTCTGCCGGAGCCGGAGGTTCTACTGCTGCTGGGGGTGCTGGCGCCACGGGTCCCGAAGGTGCTCGTACTGGAGGTACTGGAGCTGCTGGGCCTGGTGGTGCTCCTGGTGCTGGAGCTGCTGGCGGTGCTGGAGCTGGCGGTGCTGCTAGAGTAGGTGCTACTGGAGGTGCTGGAGCTAGAGCTGCTGCGTCTTCCGGTGGTCCTGCTGGGGCTGGAGGTGCTGGAGCTGGAGGTGCTGCTGGAGCCAGTGAACCTGTGGGTGTTGGAGTTGCTGCTCCTGGTGCTGGTGGAGCTGCTGGAGTCGGAGATGACGCTGGGGGTGCTGGTGCTGTCCCTGCTAGTTTTGGGGGTGCTGCACGGCCACGGCCGTACTTCGTTCCGCTCCTTGAGCAGGTTCTTGGTCTTCCGCCCTCTACTTGTCAAAGTAACAACTGCTGAATGAATTGATAGAAAATGTGAAGTACAACCCTAGATATAGCAAACCCTAATCATGCAAGTAATTAGAAATGTAACACCTATATTAACCTAAACAACACATATAAATATATATGTTGACACACCCCCATAGTCTAGGTGACGGAAGTCCTGTAGAAACAACAAGAGCAAGCAACGGTCACAAGACCAGTCCACAACAACAAGACAAATCTCAGGGTGGAGCTCAAAGTCACCACACACTCCGAGAGCAAGCAAGGGGCCACAAGGCCAGTCCACATGCAAGTTTACAGCAAATATAAATAGATGCAAGAGTACAAGACATGCAGGACAAGGCATCTCTAAGTAAGCAAGTGAGCAAGTGAGGACGGGTAGGCACAAGGCCAAGCTGGGTGTAGAAACGCTGGTGGTCACAAGGCGGCAACGCCTTGGTGAAGATATCCGCCGTGTTGGCCTCAGAGACCACACGTCGAACGAATGCCTGTCCACGCTGCTACGACTCACGCAGAAGGAAGTAACGAAGCTGGATGTGCTTCGCCTTCCCAACCAGTCGTGGCTCCTCATACAATAGGACAGCAGTGTCAGCAGTAGCAGTGGGCCAGTCTAGCAGTGTCAGCAGTAGCAAAAACCAAGTCGTCGACGTACACGAGGATGTACAGCAGCAGCAGAGTAGTGTCGGTGCGGAGAAACAACGACGGGTCAGCAGTAGAAGGAGCAAACCCAAGAGCCGCAAGCGTAGTCCTCA